TTGGCCTGTCTTTACCCTATGTGAGAAGGCTGTTAATTGGTTAACAATTTAAAAGTAATCATTTATTGTAGTCATCACTTTCGACGCATCAGAACCGATGAAAATGCATTGCAGGCGTAGGTAATACGGGCTTCAATTTCCGTAACTCACCCTAAGGGGGGGGGGGTGAGAGCAGGGTGCTGAAGAGAATATTTGGACCCAGGAGGGTTTAAGTGTCAGAGAACTGCAGAAAATTTCATAACGAGCTATGCAGCTACCTTTCGCCTAGTATAATTAGAATTATCAAACCAGAAACAACAAATGAGAAATGCAGATATAATTTAATCAGGAAATCTGGACTCAAGTTACGACTTGAGAGACGTAGACAGTTATAGAAAGTATTAACAATATTAAAATTTAAATATTTTAATACTATTAATTCACAATATGACGCATCTACAATACCTTATAATATTAAAATTGTATCAGCTTCTTTGAAGGGTTCTGATTCACGCAGTTACTGACTTCATCGCTCGAAGTTTTAAATTTAAGCGATGTTGTAGCTTGTAACAAGATTTAATAGTACATTATCCAGTCATTAACAACGCACTAATACCTCGTTAGAACTCTGGACTCCGCTAATTTCAGGAAAATAGACTGGCGTCCTTTTATTTAGATATTAATTATAATATTCATGCATAAACATAATGTAGCATGTGTGGGCTTATTAAGGTATACACGTATTTCACTAATGATGTCGTGTTACTGTGATCTTTGAAGTGACGGGAGCAATTCTGTTTCCAAGGTGACGCAATTAAAGAAAGTTGTTCTTTTTCGCTGCATTATCGTCAGATTTTTTTACGCTAACTGCACGAAACTTAAGTTAAGTATGTTAGTTACAAGACAAATAAACGAGTACCAATTTGTCACGAAAGGTTCTGCTACATGAGTTAGTTATCCAGTGTCTGCATCGAGAATGCGTGGAGTGTAAACTCCTCTCTCCCAGAATTCCTCTTTTTTTGGCGTTAATCCATCTTACTTACTTTAATTTCACTTTGACATTTTGTGCAGATATATAAGCCGAAGTTTCATGCTTGTATTTAATTATATATCAGTTACATAATATAACTGCCGGCAATCTTGAACAATTTTCCTTTCGTATTTCAGATTACTGTTGAATTTTCTTTGTACGTTGAGCGTTGTCTGGATATAAATTTATGTGTAGGCTTATTTTATTAAATTCTGTCCTGTATTTGACAAAATAAGGAACCAGTCTTATTAAATTATCATACGTGATTCAACCGCCACGGTGGTCTAGCGGTTAGAACGCTGGCCTTGTAATCCTGGGGTCTCGGGTTCGATTCCCGGCGGTGCCCGAATTTCTAACTTGTGTTGGGCAAGGCCGTGGTATAGGCAACACGGAGTTTTTCTCCGTGGCATCCCAACAATTACTCATTACTCCATACACACAGAAGAAGGCAATGGCAAACCCCTTCTGGATCATCTGCCAAGAACGTATATGAACAGGTCCCAGTCCGAGAAAAGGATGGAAGGATCCTGTTCATATGGACCTGTCGTCAGACAGAACATTAAATAAAAATAAATTTCGCATGTGTTTAATTATCACGATTAACCTCTGCACGTCCAGGCACAAATAAGATTTTTTGTGAATATGAAAGTGAAATTGTAACTTCTGTTAGTTTGGCACAGATGTATTGAGCAGGCACAATGGATTTAATATGTCAGATTCTGTGACTAGGTAAATCTAAGACATAGTATCCATTTTACATGTACGTATATTGTCACTGTCTTAGTTAATACATTGATCTCGACAAAAGAATGTAAATCAGTTGGCATTCATTGGGAATTTGAGGTTCTCACAGCGACGATAAGCGTCGATGTTGCCCAGGCATACCATTCAGATAAATATTCTACTCGCCAGACGTTTCCTCCACTAGAGAATATTCGTGAACAACTGCTGTTGACAAACAAGTGATTACGTCTGAACTGCAAAGTGATTACTGTCGGCGGTTGTTTGCATTTTACACGTGTCGGGACAAACCAGGTATCCGATAATCGTCGCTCTAACCTTTTTCCTGAATCCTCAGACGATTCTTTGATTAAACTGTATCCGGGTGAGATATGAGGTTCTCACGGAGGTGAGTCCGAAGATGGCTTGTCTCCTGGTAGCGCCGTGTAGTCTGGTAGAAGTTTATCGACGTTTCAGAGGTTCTTGCTGCCTCTGTCATCAGGGAGATCGCACTGGTTGCCGGACTACACGTTGCAGTAATTCAGAATAAAGCCGTCTTCAGTGTTTCATTATTTACGAGTTACTTATGTACCATGCATTAACTACCTTCAAGTTTGTCTCGGAGCTAGGAGCTGGTCTTCGTGAGTTACAAATTGCCTTCAGCTTCTCCTCTCCCGTTGTTTACTGTGCTCGGCGCGGGCGGTGACATGGATCTCTCAATTAGTTTCGTTTATGCGTTGTTAGCCACGTGACGAGGCTCTTGCTTCTCCGATGCATTTCTCATCAGCGTCGACATTACAACGTCACCGCCCAACCTCAGCGCATATTCAATAATGTCATGTTTCTCACGCTGCCATTCCTTCAGGAACATCAGACAGGACGTTCTTCAAGGCCTGATGCAAGGTGTTCTCAACCTCACCAGGCCTCAGACAAAATTTACCAATGTTGAACCACTATCACTTCAAAATATACCCTCACTCCAATGAATTTGGATGTAAACATCATCAGAAGTTACACAACAACAGTAATTAAGTTTTAGTTTATAAGATTATAATTTTTAACTTTTAACTTTACACCTGAAGATGGTTCAATGTAACCGAAACATGTAGTAAAAAGATGTACCAAATATGTAAATGATATTTTAATATCTTATGTATAAATTTTATTTATATACAATTGTGATTAGACGGAAAAAAACACGAATAATTAAAATTTACCCTTCTTCAACCCTTTAAAGCCCAGTGGTAACTATATGTCCCACTTACTTCAACAATCAATGACGTATTTTTATTATGTGTTTTTTAATGATTCTCCCTGTATACAGCGATCATTTCCTTAAACAGCGTTAAAAAGTTGATCTTCGTAATGGTGAAGTGCTGTGTTTTCTTCGCGGTACGGACTGAATTTTTAAATAATATTTAGACGAGCTTTGGCTTTGAAGGGTTAACCGGTTGATTTTCGTAATGGTGAAGTGCTGTGTTTTCTTTGCGGTACGGACTGAATTCTTAAATGTTATTTGACAAGCTAAGACCTTAAAGATTTAATTGACTCGCGGACCGCAATGTTATAAATGAGGACAATTTATTATGAAAAATAATGGTGCTAATACACACGAACAGGAATTCACTTTGTCACCAGAGTTAAATTGTCCACTTATCTCAGTCTATTACAAAGATTAAGAATGCATGGCTTATTATGTGCACTCTCCAATACGTCTTGTTGTGGCCAAGGTATTTTTTTTACATTTTATGTAGTTGATTTAAAGAGGTTTATTGGTCTCGTGCAGTGCTTTTCCTCGAAAAATGACCACTACTCCTGTCATACCAACATGCATAACAACTACATATGCATTTTATGCAGATGAATTAATGACACAGCTGGGGCAGAGTATGTATAATATCCTGATATTCAGATGTTTGTCGCTTATCTTAAATTGTGTTGACGCGACAGACGACAAAGTTTATGTAAAAACGGACACCCCAGATATTTCTGCGTTAATTTGAATTCTGCAACGAAATTAAACCCGCTGTCATGTTGACAGCACTGTACCCTTTCTCATTGCGGGCAGTTGTTACAACTGTCACTAGAGGCACGCCTAGATCTAAAGAAAAGTAAAATAAATGCGACATAATTTATTTTATTTTTTTACTAAAGTGCGAAAGGAAATTCTTCCCGTGGCCATTTGAAATTCGCTGTTATTTTATGGTGTCCGTAATAAAATCTCAGAGGATAAAAGAATTTATTCCAAGCAAACAGGCTTATGACGTAGCATGAACCTGTGTAATTTCTCCACCCCCACTGTGAGTGCCGCGTGTCGTCAAATCGGCGCCTTGCTAACCGCCTACAACTTCGAGTATCTCCTACCACTTCGGTGACCCGCGTCCCACCGCCTTTCGCATGTTCTGATGCTAATGAGAGGCATGCTGACAGCCAACAGCATCTCGAAGTCAATTTTATTGTTGACCAAACCCTGAGAGAACCTTACGGAGTTATTTCAGGCACTCATACCAAAATAGACTCTCCAGTCAATAGAGTATTATTAACTAATTGCATGCGTCAGTTATGTCCATTGGGAAGAAATACTCTCTTCTTTATAAGATCTAACTTTTTGTCACAAACGGCACGTGCATGTCCCTAAAGAAGGGAGAATCATCGTAAACTGGGTTTTAGTCGACCTAGAACGTTCCATGACGAGACCTCGCTGCGTTTTTCTTTCTTGGG